GTGGTCGGCGGATCTCTGTGAGAGCCTGGTCTACAGGAGCTAGTTCCAGGACAGGCTCCAAAGCTACAGAGAAACCCTATCTCAGAAAAACAAAACAAAACAAAAACAGAAAAAAACAAAAAAAAACCCCAAAAAACCAAAAACAAACAAAAACAAAAAAACATCCTTGAGAGGCAAAAACAAGCACCATATGCCCAGTTACACTAAATGGCAAAACTCCAGCGCCATTTTCAACAGTTGGGAAGAAGATAAAGATGTCTCCAGCAGGCACTAAGCAATCCACTTAGATAGGAAAAAGAAGTCAGAGATAGAGAATGACAAAAGTAGATGTGCCTTGATAGCAGACAAAGTTAAAGATTATCATAGGAACTACTACCAAACACGGTAAGACAAAAGCCGGAGAGATGGCTCAGCAGTTAAAAGGACCAGCTGCTCTTCCAAAGGACCTTGGTTCAAATCCCACCACCCCTATGTTGGCTCAGAGCCCATTATAATCCCCACTCAGGGCATCCAACACCTTCTTCTAGTCTCCACAAGCACCAGACATCTGTTGTACATGTGTGTGTGCAGGCAAAACACCCATACACATTAGATAGATAGATAGATAGATAGATAGACAGACAGACAGACAGACAGACAGACAGACAGGATTTTAGGACAGTAAGACAGGAATGTGGATATGACAACAGGATTCCTACCTACAGGCGCAAGGTCCTGAGTCCCACCTCAAGCACAGCGAGAAAAAACTACAGGCAAGTCAGTAAAGGTCCCACAGTCAAAGTTAACAATCCACAGCCTCCATAAAGTCTAACAATCATCAGCGAACAAAGTATGCAAGAGACTAGGACCTCGAAATTAAAATGTGCATGAATAAACCTAGTAAGAATGCAGATCTGTACACTAAAAAAATCTCAAGGCACTTCTGAAACAGACCTGCACAATGCATTCCTAGACACACCACACATTCAACACAATTGCAATGAAAGACCTGCACAATGCATTCCTAGACACACCACACATTCAACATGATCGCAATGAAAGCATCGGGAAGCACATGGGGCTTTGACCCTTCGACCTTAGGACCCTAATTCAGCACTGAGCAGGTCAAACAGTCAGAAATACTGAGACATCAGGCTGAATAGAGACCATCCTCACTGGGAACTGAGACAAAAACCTTACCACCAAAGCACTCTGGGGATGAGCATGAGTCCAGTGGAGTCAGCAGAACACAGAGGACTTTAGGGAGTATTTCTGATAAAGGTGGGGTGGTTCTTCTGGGCAGAGCCACGCTGTTTGGTGCTGCTTTCATTTTGGTCCTAGGGACTGAACCAGGGGGCACTCATGCTAAGCAAGCACCCCATTACTGAGCCGTACCCCAAGTCCCCTCCTTGATGCCTCTTAGAAACTTTGTAATATTTTTGTATTAAGCATTTAACATTTTATATTACTAGGGGAATAAGGGTATTTTCTTTTTAAATGGAGAAAAATTGAAAAAGAAACCCAATGAAGAGCAGACACAGGCCTGGCACTTACGATCTGTGGGTGCCAGTTTAATTGGTGGAAGGGAACTGCACTTGCCTTCTTCCCTCTTGGGGTGCTCCTGTGCAGCCCACGAAGCACTGATGGCAGACATCACGGAGAAGACAGAGGCCAGCACTGTTTTCTGCTCCTGCAGTATGATGGGCGGGTCACCAACTTGGCAGAATTCATGGCACACCAGGTCAAAAAGTAAATTCCATGTGTCTTTTGCAGTATCAGGACACTGTACTTAAGAAATATTTTTTACAAATAGTAATTTAAAAATAGCGAACACTTAACGAGCAACGACAGCGTGCCCCAAGAAACCGCCTTACCAATTGCTTGAATCCCATCGTCCGCGGTGGTGAGCAGCTGTAAGATGTGCATGTAAACATCCAGTCCTTCCAGGTTTTCAGACCTAAGCAGACAGAAAGGGCACAGCACTCTTAACTTCAGCGTCAGAGAACAGCAATGCTCACTCGCCCTGCAGGGGTTTGTTACCTCATGCTAACGTGCAGAACGTGAGATGGCCAGCCGAGTAGACTCTGCTCACTAGCACTGACATTAAAATGGGAAAACTGAAGAAAAGGAGTTTATGTATTATGAGTGCGTGAGTGAGCGTGAGTATATAAGTATGTGAATGCATAGGTGTTATAGCTGTACGTATGTCTGTGTGTGAACTAGTGTGTGTATGTGTGTGAGCATATATATGAAGTGTGTGAATGTGAGTGTGTATGTATGTGTACATGAGTATGAGTGCATGTATGTGAGTGTATGTCAAGTGTGTGTGAGTCTACACATGTATGCTACTGATACTTCTATGGGAGGGATGTGAGGCCTACGGCGCAGACACCACGGTCCTGAAGTTCTTTAGAGTTCACAGATCATCCTAGCTCCCTAGCTGAGAAAGCAGAAACATAAAAACCTAATTCTTTTGCTCAACAGTTTGTATTCTTAGAACTCAAAATACTGTTTCTTCAACCAGTTAAGTGAAAAACATAATTAAATGGTTCAGCTACATTTACTGAAGTATCATCATTTGGGGGCACTTACTTCTAGGGGCTGGAAAGACAGATAATATTAAGATGTTACACCAACCTTCACAGATCATAACAGTCTGAGAGGAAAGAAGTAAAGGGCCATAACCATAAAACAAAATGAATTCAACACTAGAAGGCCCAGGCACTAAAAGACCACGCAGAAATTTGGTCAGGGAAGAGATCTTGAGAGAAATGGAGTTTCCACAGGAACCTGAAGAGGCAGGTGTTTGTGGCGTTGGAGAGACACCTTGAGCAAAGGCTGGGAGACAAGAGGGCCTGGTTCATCCCCAGAATGGAATTTCACATAGAAGAAGCAAGAACAAGGATGGATAGGCCTTGTGTGGAGGATTGTGCGCCAGTTTTGTTTGTTTTAAAAACCTGAACTATTTCCTGCGGAAGGCCACTGAAAAGCAGGGAGCACGAAGCAAGATGGGTGTGTACCACGGAAGCAGCTGCAAGGCTCAGGAGAAGCCAGCCAGAGGACAGGCAGCTCAGAAGGCAGACAGTGTGGCACTTGCCCAAGCAAGTGAGAAGAGGTCTGGCTGTCAGGATGGGATCACAGTAAGAGTTGACTGGCCATGAGGAAGGAGCTAGACAGGGCAGTCAGGAGGGACTTTCCAGTTCTCCCACCTTCTCTAGATGGGACACTGGCAACATCATTCACTGTTGGAAACACTGAAGAGGCAGATACGTGTGTGGCTTAATCTTCATTTGATAAAAGGTATAAAATTAATAACTTTTAACATAGCCTAATAAGTTCTGAGAATATGCTGTTAACAACTAAGCAGATAATTCAAACGCTAATCTTGCAGTTATCAGTGCTACATTAACAACTCATAAACAACCGCCTCTCATGATAAGACATCAAAGCCCCCATGCTGATCATCTACACAGACTGGTGTGCACACACAAGCTGATCATCTACACAGACTGGTGTGCACACACAAGCTGATCATCTACACAGACTGGTGTGCACACACAAGCTGATCATCTACAGACTGGTGTGCACACACAAGCTGATCATCTACACAGACTGGTGTGTACACACAAGCTGATCATCTACACAGACTGGTGTGCACACACAAGCTGATCATCTACAGACTGGTATGTACACACAAGCTGATCATCTACACAGACTGGTGTGTACACACAAGCTGATCATCTACACAGACTGGTGTGTACACACAAGCTGATCATCTACAGACTGGTATGCACACACAAGCTGATCATCTACACAGACTGGTGTGCACACACAAGCTGATCATCTACACAGACTGGTGTGTACACACAAGCTGATCATCTACACAGACTGGTGTGTACACACAAGCTGATCATCTACACAGACTGGTGTGCACACACAAGCTGATCATCTACAGACTGGTGTGCACACACAAGCTGATCATCTACACAGACTGGTGAGCACATAAGCAGATCATCTACACAGACTGGTGTGCACACACAAGCTGATCATCTACACAGACTGGTGTGTACACACAAGCTGATCATCTACACAGACTGGTGTGTACACACAAGCTGATCATCTACACAGACTGGTGTGTACACACAAGCTGATCATCTACACAGACTGGTGTGTACACACAAGCTGATCATCTACACAGACTGGTGTGCACACACAAGCTGATCATCTACACAGACTGGTGTGCACACACAAGCTGATCATCTACAGACTGGTATGCACACACAAGCTGATCATCTACACAGACTGGTGTGCACACACAAGCTGATCATCTACAGACTGGTGTGCACACACAAGCTGATCATCTACACAGACTGGTGTGCACACACAAGCTGATCATCTACACAGACTGGTGTGTACACACAAGCTGATCATCTACACAGACTGGTGTGCACACACAAGCTGATCATCTACAGACTGGTGTGTACACACAAGCTGATCATCTACACAGACTGGTGTGTACACACAAGCTGATCATCTACACAGACTGGTGTGTACACACAAGCTGATCATCTACAGACTGGTGTGCACACACAAGCTGATCATCTACACAGACTGGTGTGCACACACAAGCTGATCATCTACACAGACTGGTGTGTACACACAAGCTGATCATCTACAGACTGGTGTGTACACACAAGCTGATCATCTACACAGACTGGTGTGCACACAAGCTGATCATCTACACAGACTGGTGTGTACACACAAGCTGATCATCTACACAGACTGGTGTGCACACACAAGCTGATCATCTACAGACTGGTGTGTACACAAGGAGGAAGCAGGGAGCAAACAAATATGCTCAATGAGTTGTTTCACATTCAATGTAAAATAAAACAAGACAATCTTTTCTCCTTGATTATTTAAAATACATAAAATTGCTATCAGTTACCACAGCAAGCTATGACCAGCCATACTGGAGCAAATGCTCTGAACCCGCACTTTTCTTGCCACCACAAACCTAAGAGAGACTGGTTGCTTACTGAAACTAAGACTCCCATCTAAGGATGTTTCGAACAACTGAATTTTCCAGACCATTCTGTACAAGAGTTCACCTACCGTATTTGTCTGGCAGCTTCCAGTATACTGGGTACAAAAGAAAATACTGGCTGCTCTTCAGAGTCCTCCTGGGGTTGGTCTGGAAGCCGGGCAGTCCCATTTCTAATCCACTCCAACATGAGTTTTTCATCCAAGTCAAAGAGCTTGTCCACGACCTCCCCAACCTTCACCAACAAGTCAACTGCAGTCAAGACAGGTGTTCAACTGAGAACCCAAGTGTCTGAAGCCACAAGGGGGAACCAAACTCCTCAAGCTCCTCCAAGAGCCAAATCTGCCAGGGTGCCACTTCCTCCCAGGTGTCTCCAGGAGCCTATTTAAACTGGCTTATCTTCCTTCAGGGCAAAGTGGCCTCTGGGGCGGAAGAGATGGCCCAGTCATTAAGAGCACCCATAGCTCACAACTGTCTGGAACTCCAGTCCTGGAGATCTGACACTCTCTGCTGGCCTCTGTGGGCAGCAGGCACATACCAACATGCAAAAGACACACAGATTTACATGTAAGAAAACACCCATAAATTTAAAAAATCAAAGTATAAAATTTTTAAAATGAAAAGTCTAAAGTAGCTTCCCAGGATATGCTCCAGTCTTTCTCCCTAGAGTGCACGGAGACTTACCATTTGTTGAACTTGACATGATGAAGCAGACGCTAGCATAAATGGACGGATGTTGCCGGATCCTTTCAACCCAGACACTGGCCACTTCTGCCTGGGAAAGGCAAGTAAGCAACAACCTACATGACAAATGTGAGCTCAATATCTGTGCGGGCAACAACAAGGGCCACCACAGTCAAGAGTGCACTCTGCTTTCCCAGGGCTTCTGATGAGTGGTCTCGAGAAAGGCTTACCTGCTGGTTTCTAGCAGAGTGGGTGGGTCTGAGTCGCACAAACACTGCAGAAGCACCTGCCTGCCGAGACACCGTGAGCCATGAGTATCATTTAAATAACCAGTTTTCATTTCATTTTAGACATCTTCTATTGTAAGACAAAGCATAAATGCATTTCATAAATTCTAGAGTAGTGGTTCTCAGCCTTCCTAAGGCTGCAACCTTTTCCTACAGTTCCTCATGTGGGGAACCCCAGCCATAAAATTGTTTCATCGCCACTTTGTAACTGCAATTTTACTAATGCTATGAATTGTAATGTAAATATCTGGTTTATGACCCCCCACAGAAGGGGTCATGACCTAAAGGTTGAGAAGAACTCGTGTTTCTAAAGTACAGAGCGGAGTTGACCACCTGCAGCTGCCTTTGCCCACCGTGTTGCTCTCCACCTAAAAAGGTGGCCCCGACTTCCTCAGAGATCACTTCTTCTTTCCCCCTAGAAAAGGAGGCCCCGACTTCCTCAGAGATCACTTCCTCTCCCCCCCTAGAAAAGGTGGCCCCGACTTCCTCAGAGATCACTTCCTCTCCCCCCCTAGAAAAGGAGGCCCCGACTTCCTCAGAGATCACTTCCTCTCCCCCCCTAGAAAAGGTGGCCCCGACTTCCTCAGAGATCACTTCCTTGCTCTGCTCTATAATTCTGTTAATAGATTTCTGATTTTGCATTTAATTTTATATAAAAGCAGCTATGGTTTTTCCTTAAAATATCCTTTAGTTATCTGTGCATCTTTTTATCTGCTTTCTGTGACACATATCATTGTTCACGTGCTCTTCAATTCATCATGGAACACCTTGTGTGTGAATGTAAGAGAAACAATTCAAGAGGCCCAGGCCCTTGAAGACAGGGATAAACCCTTATGACCCTCCAATAAGAGCAATCACTTTAACGTATGCTGGACACAGACTTCTTTAGATCATTAACAGCCATGAACCATCTCCAGGAAAATGAATATACCCATCAAATTTATCACGTTCTCAGATCTACCATGGTAACCGACCACCTGAGACTCCACTATGAAAAAGCCCTCTGTCCAAAGTTTTCTGAAAAGAACTAGCCTCTAATTAAAAGTCTGAAAGCCTTTTAATCCTAGAGGTGACTCTTTGTCTTCTGGTCCCTAGGCAAGTCCCACTCCCCTATTTAAGTCTCAGTTCTCAGAGCAAAACTGTCCAGCAACTGAGTTTCCCAGACTAGTTCTGAGTCCTTGGATTCTCCATGCTTAAATAGTTCTGGACTCTGACCAGCGGGCCCTAGCTCCAATTTGGGCTCTACATATTCTTTGCCTCACCCCCTTACTCGCTGGGGTAACTCATGCTTTACCGTGGATGCAAAGGCTCAGTCCTAGGTCAAGTCCATAGCTAGTGCAGAAGTCTCAGCCACACCAGCACCCAAGGTGTCCTGAGACAATGAAACAGCACACCGCACACTTCCACCTCTCCTAGGTTCAAGGGTTCCCTTGGAATAGAAACTTAGCACGGCTATTAGGTAGTAGGACTTACCCATGATCTTCGCAGCTGCTGATGGACACACATATCTCCCGGAAACAAGCCATATTCCCTAAAATTCCCACACAGATTTCCTGTCAAACCAAGTAACACAGGTCACAATGGCTGTGAGGTAAAAGCCATGAAGAATAACAACTTGAACAAAAACTTCTACTGAACCAAGTTTGAGGGGAGGAAAGAGGGAGGCAGGATATGGATGTTTACAGCTGGCATCCAGATTTACATACTCGGCTTGTACAGCTCACACAGGTGAGAAGGAATAGAAGACACAAAGCAAAAGTCATAGATGAAGAAGTGTTATGCGGGGAAGGATCCTTAACACAGACGACTAATGGAGAGAACGCAGGAACCATGAGGAAGCACAAGAGAAATGGAGCAGAGGAAAAGGATTTGGCTGTCATGTCAAAGAGTTTAGACTTAATATGGGATGGTGTCTGGAGCCACGGAGGTTCTCAAAGAGGGAATATTTGTCCACACATCATTTTACACAGCATTTACAAGATGGGACTGTATTGTCCCCACTTCTAAACTGAGGAGACTGAAGCCCAGGGAAGTCCAGCAAGCTGCGTGAGATCTTCAACTGAAGGCAGCAGCAACCCAGAGCTGTCATGTTCCAGGGTACTCGCTCAAGGAGACATGGCTGCTATTATCAATGAGGGGTAATGGCAGACATGGAAAAGGAGTTGAGATGCTAAAGGGGATGGCAAACAGGCTGTTAGGCACAGTTTATAGGTCTGAAGTTGCCATGGTTTCCCAGTCAGAAGTATTAGTCATATCAACAGGAAAAAATAAGATGGAAGGGCATGGTGCATTTACACAGAACAGGGATCCCAAACTTGCTGGGATTGAGCACTCGGAGTTTGTCGACGGTTTCCAAGCCCCATCAACTCCAGTGAATCAGAATCTCCAGGCTCCATTTAGCCTCAGTAGCAAGTGTTTACCAAGTCCACCAGGAGTGTTTATGACCGGGTGATAAGCACTGAATTACAAAGAGGATGGAGACAGGGTTAGAAAATACACAGCTGAGAACTCATCAGGAAAGTTGGAAGTGACACCAGATACCAACAGGGGAGTCGGGGCTTGTGCCATTGCAGGACTAGAGCTGTGGCTTAAGCGAGTAAGAAAGGGAGCTGAGCTGCTGTGGTGGCACTGAGGGGCTGTGGTGGCACTGAGGGGCTGTGGTGGCACTGAGGGGCTGTGGTGGCACTGAGCTGCTGTGGTGGCACTGAGCTGCTGTGGTAGCACTGAGCTGCTGTGGTAGCACTGAGCTGCTGTGGTAGCACTGAGCTGCTGTGGTAGCACTGAGGGGCTGTGGTAGCACTGAGCTGCTGTGGTGGCACTGAGCTGCTGTGGTGGCACTGAGCTGCTGTGGTGGCACTGAGCTGCTGTGGTAGCACTGAGGGGCTGTGGTAGCACTGAGCTGCTGTGGTAGCACTGAGCTGCTGTGGTAGCACTGAGGGGCTGTGGTAGCACTGAGCTGCTGTGGTGGCACTAAGGGGCTGTGGTAGCACTGAGGGGCTGTGGTGGCACTGAGGGGCTGTGGTAGCACTGAGCTGCTGTGGTAGCACTGAGCTGCTGTGGTAGCACTGAGGGGCTGTGGTAGCACTGAGCTGCTGTGGTAGCACTAAGGGGCTGTGGTAGCACTGAGCTGCTGTGGTAGCACTGAGCTGCTGTGGTAGCACTGAGCTGCTGTGGTAGCACATGCCTGTAACCCCAGCACTTTGAAGGTTGAGACAGAAACTGCAAGCTCAAATCCTCACTCTGGGACTCACTAAGAAAATGGCTGTGAAGAGAACAGGGTGTTCACTCTGGACAGAGTCCAGACTCAGGCACAGGAGGAAATAGGAAGGGACAAAAGCTGAGGAAAGTTAGAGAGGAACTACAGAGAGCTTTAGTAAAAAGCAGATGGTTCAAACACTGGCAGAAGAGCAAGCAATTCGGGACAGAAAACACACATTCTCTTAGAAGCTAGCGAGGGGAGGGGTGAACGTTCGCTGAAGACCAACTCCTGTGTCGGCTGCGTAGGAGAACCCCTGGTAGACGACTTTGGAAAGTCCTCCAGGACAAAGTTTTTGAAAAGAGTATGGCCCTGATCTAAAGTATTGACATCACCTGGGAACACAGCAGATGCCTAGGTCCTGCCCTAGCCTACTGGACCAGATGCTCTTGGGGAGGGCTCGGCACCAGTGATCTGGGCCATGCTAACATTTAGACTGGTGATTCCTCATAAGGCCAAGGTTGAGAACCACTACTGTAGCAGGCTGTGACCAGGACACATTTACAGCCGTGTGGCTAATTCCTGAACTTATCATGACTAATATAAAAAAATAGTAAAATCAAGGAAGGAACGTCACAAAATCACCAACACTTTATGTAAATTTAAGGACCCAATATGGGCGGAGCATTCCCCTAAATAAAAATCTTAATTCAAGGGCCTGGAGAGATGGCTCAGCAGTCAAGAGCACTCACATGGTGGCTCTCAACCATCTATGAGATCCAGTGCCCTCTTCTGGTGTGTGACAGACATGCGGACAAAGCATCCATAGACAGAAATACATAAACATATTTATAAAAACCTTAATTCAACATTCAATTTGTAATACACTCTATGGAATTTTCTACTTTATCTCAAAGAAAAAGAAGCAACGACAGGGTTATGCTAGAGCTGGGCATAAGCTCAAACTCCAGCTCCATCTTTACAAGCTGTGTGACTTTGGACATATTATCTTAGTCTGAGACTCAGTTCTTTTATCAGCAAACAGTAGAGAGTGGATATTCACAAACTGCAATCCTTCAGCACACATGAACAGTCCTGTATCATGTGCACTGCACAGAGACCTAAATGGCAGTAACACTCAGGACACTGCTCCTGTGGTCCCACCTGCTGCTCTTGGGAGCTCTTGGCAATGACAAGGCAGAAAAGTGCCGCCCTGAGTAAAAGAAAGAGAAGGGAAGGCCAGCAAGGGTGACATGATGCAGCCAGCCCTCGCCCAGGAGCATATGGGGAGATTTTGGAGCGGAGAGTTCTCATGGCCAGCCTGTGGGCACAGTGAACTGAGAGATACACAGCAGGTCTAGGCACTGCTTCTTGTCCTGCCACAGCGCAGCAGCCTAGCATGGCTATGTCTATCTGGTTTCCACAGCTGCTAAATCAAATTATTGATTCCCAAAATATAATCCAAACCTAAAATTCTACGTATCTAATTATTTCAAGGAGTGTGTTACCTAAGAACGTCCAATAGCATTTGTGCACGAGCAGAACTGTATATACTTACTCTTAATCGGGGACACCTGGATTTGGCCAGCACTCCCATGAATATATCAGGAGCCTTAAATTCTTGTAGAAACAAAGCCACATCCTATAAACAAAAATGATTAGCAATTTAGATGCTGCATACTGCTCAAGTTCTATAGCTCAGATATCCCTAAAAGTTTAATTTCATGTTTACTTCCTTTCATCCATAACGGAAAAATAAAAGATCAAAAAGACAAAAGTAAGTCAAGTAGTGGTGGCGCATGCCTATAATCCCAGCATTTGGGAGACAGAGGCAGGTGATATCTGTAAATTTGAGGCCTGCCTTACAGAGTGAGTTCCAGGACAGCCAGAGCTATACAGAGAAAACCTGTCTTATAGAAGCAAAACAAAACAAAACAAAACCCAACCAAACCAAAAGACAAAAGTAACGTAAGAGTCTTTGTAGTACCTGGTACCAAGACAGTAGAATGATCCCATAAACCAATATAACCCTGATGGTGACACACCAGAGGATAGCCCTCCTTTCATTCTGCATGGTCCTGGAATTCTCATAACTTACCCAAACACGTTTGCTGACTGCCAGACACTAAGTTAGAAGCTGGGGGTGAGAAAGGGGTATGGGGAAGAGTCAACTCCTAAATCCTACCCTGTAAGAACTTAAAACTCAGATAAATGCTACTGGGTTACATTCGATATCAGGACTTGGGCTTCAATGAGCACAAAAAGAATTCTTATCACAATGTAACTACAACAGTCTGGAACTTTCTCCCCAGAGATTTTCTTCCACCCACATCACCTAAGGGGGCGCACCACACAGGTGTACCTAGAGTGGACATGCGGCTGCAAAGAGAGGGCTCTCACATAGGAATGTAAGGTACAAAAGCTAAATCTGTTAGCTGTGGGATATGCCTATTAAAAAACACACATCTAAAACTAAACAAACTAAATAAATAAACTAAAGTTTTAGTCAATGATGACTAAATGTATGTGTGTATGTACGTATGTCAATGGTCCTATGAAATTATATTACCTAGTGATGTCATAGCTATCTTAGCTCACATTTATGTTAAATACACCATGAGGCTCATAGGATGAAACTGTATTTGTGTTCAAGGCACGATTTTAACATTAATAGCTCCTGGATCTTCATACCCTGAACCACAAACTGGAGGGGCTACAGTCACTCAATAATGCCTTGCCAGAAGGAATGAGCCTTTTTTCTTTTATTTAAAATAACAAAAAACTATCTTTTTTATTTTACATACCAATCCCAGTTCCCAGCCCCTCCCCTCCTCCTGTTTTCTTCACTTTTCTCCCCTCCCCAGAGAGGATAAGGCTTGTTGCTTTGAGGAAGGATCAAAGCCCTTCCTACTATATCTAGGTTGAATCAGGTATGCCTCCAAAGAGAATGGGTTCCAAAAAGTCAGTACAAGCAGTAGGGATAAATCCTGGTGCCACTGCCAGTGGCCCCGCAGTCTGCCCCAGCCATACAACTGTCACCCACATTCTGAGGGCCTAGTTTGGTCCCATGCTGGGTTCTTCCCTGTCTGGCTGGATGTAGTGAGCTCCCATTAGCTCAGGTAGACTGTTTGAGTGGGTGTCCCTATCACGGCCTTGACCTCTTTGTTCATATTTTCATTCTGCTCACTCTTCAACTGGACTTTGGGAGCTCAGCCCAGTGCTCTGCTGTGGCTCTCTGCCTGTTTCCATCAGTTGCTGGATGAAGGTTCTGTGGTGACATTTAAGATAGTCATCAATCTGACTACAGGGCAAGGTTAGTTCAGGCACCCTCTCCATTATTGCTTAGGGTCTTAGCTTGTCATCCTGTGGATTCCTGGGATTTTTTTTCTAGTGCCAACTATGTTCATAGCAGTATTATCTGTAATAGCCAGAACCTGGAAACAACCTAGATGCCCCTCACCTGAAGAATGGATAAAGAAAATGTGGCACATTTACACATTAGAGTACTACTCAGGGGTAAAAAACAATGACAGCTTGAAATTTGCATGCAAATGGATGGAACTAGACAAAAAACAAAACAAAACAAAACAAACAAACAAAAAACCATCCTGAGTGAGGTAACTCAAACTCAGAAAGATGAGCATGGAATGTACTCACTCATAAGTGGATACTAGCTGTAAAGCAAAGGATAACGAGCCTATAGTCCATGACCCCAGAGAAGATAAGCAACAAGGAGAGCCCTAAGAGAAACATATATAGATCCCTCTGGGAAGGGGAAGTAGACAATATCTCTTGAGAAAATTGGGAGCATGGGATTGGGGGGAAAGGGAGGGCAGAAGGGGAGGAGGAGAGGAAAGGGGGATTGGGGAGAACTTGAGTGAATGGGATAGTCAAGATGGGGCAAGGACAGAGACAGAGAGCACTGAAAGAATATCTTGATTGAGGGTTAGCAAGAAATCTGGGATGAATCTTTTTAAAAGTCTCCTCACTCTAGAATTTCACTTTTATCCTCATACCTCATCCATGGACATATCCCAGACTCTGCAGATTTCGTTCTCCGTTTCCTCAGTGAGCTCCATCTGTTGCTCATCATCATCCGAGCCGGACTTGGCACTTTCAGGTGTGACAATCTTCAGACACATAGAGAAAAAAAAAATCATCAGTTAAAATACTCAAAGTTCTTCAAGTAATATATCACGCAGATGTCTCCAAGAGAGTAACCTTAAAGTACTTCCTCTGGCGAAACAGTTCCTAAAAACTGCCTAGCAGTGCCTTGGATGATCTACAGTATTCTTGGAGGAAACACTGTCTGAAGGCACTGCAAGAGAAAAAACAGGAATGACAACAATATGAACTTTTGCTTTCAAATGATTTAAGATTAGTGTAGGAAAGTCATGGAAACAGACAGTCACAATAGAAAAGGATGACTTTGCTGAGCTGGTGAAAAGAGCTGTGGCTTTGACCTATCCCTGGGAGGAGAAAGACATTTTTTTTAAAAGAGGAAAGTGAAATCTCATGGGAAGGGAAGGACTCGAGCACTCAGAGGTGAGTACATGAGTTTACAAAGCATAGAACATGACTGGAGATGGCCACAGTCTACTGGTCATAGCACATGACTGGAGATGGCCACCAGTCTACTGGTCATAGCACATGACTGGAGATGGCCACAGTCTACTGGGCATAGAACATAACTGGAGATGGCCAAAGTCTACTGGGCATAGCACATGACTGGAGATGGCCACAGTCTACTGGGCATAGAACATGACTGGAGATGGCCACAGTCTACTGGTCATAGTACATGACTGGAGATGGCCACCAGTCTACTGGTCACGGGACATAACGTAGCTATCCTTAAGTATAGGTTAAGTATTGTTAAGTGAGTTGTGGTAAGCAGCCTTGGATCCCCAGTTAAGAAGTAGAAAGTGTTCATTTATAGCAACAAAAATACCCCCTTTTTTATTTTTCTTTTTTTTTGGGGGGGGGGGGGAGGGTTCGAGGCAGGGTTTCTCTGTAGCTTTGCCTGTCCCGGAACTAGCTCTTGTAGATCAGGCTGGCCTCGAACTCCCAGAGATCCGCCTTCCTCTGCCTCCCAAGTGCTGGGATTAAAGGTCTGCGCCACCACCACCCGGCTAAAAACACCCTTTTAAAATACTAAAAAAAGGAAGACTTTTTTGGTCACTGTGTAGATATTGTCTCTGAAAAAAAAACCAAAACCAAACCCAGGAATTGGCGGCATAGAGGCAGTACACAGAAAAATCTGCTAGCCTCCTATAAATCAAACACCATTTCAAACACTCTACTATCATTATCATCTCAATCTACACAAAAACCGTGTGTACAATAACACTGGTTATCCTATTTTATAGAAACGGAAAGAAATCGAGGTTCTGGGTTAACGAATCACACTTCCAGCATGGGATGGAGATCAGGGCTGTCTGACTCCAAACTATGCTCTCCACTATGACAAGAGCTCACGAAACAGGAACTGATTTCAGAAGTGACAATGGAGTTGCAGAGCAAAATCCGACTAAAGAATGTGTGTGGTGGTGTTCCGGGAAGAGTTAGGAAACTGGCACCCGGACCCTCCAGCATCCCATCCACTCCCTTGGTTCGGAGGACGCCTGAGCCAGTCTCCCCACCTGGATGAGTCCGCTGAGTACTCCGAAGAGCCAGTGCTTGCTGTAGACCGTGCTCCCAATGCAGTCTCCCCCGGCCAGGTCCTCCTCGTCCTCCTGATTGCAGTTAGGAGGAGGAGGGGACGGGTTACGGTCCATGCTAGCGCCCACGAGAGTCGCCGGAAGCCCCGGAAGCCCCGGAGGAGGCGAGAGGATGTGCCAGAGAGCCCGACTGACCGGGCGCTGTTCCCCACTGCGCCCCCTGCTGTCAGGATCCGGAATGGTCCAGGAACCTGTGGAATAGGTGGGAACTCCCACAAAGTGTCCACCTAGGGACCAGTAGCATGAAACACACGTCAGTATTCTTTGTCTGGAACGAAGAGGGGTCAGGGAAGAGAGAGAGAGACAGAAAAGATTCTCAGCCAGGGAGGAGGAGGAGGAGGACGACGGAGATGGCTTGGATGTAGGACTTTAATACAAGCTGAATCTGAATAAAGAACTGAACATATAAAACAAAACTTTTAAAGGTTTTAGATGTAGAAGAAACTGTAAAGGACCTTTTATGACCCGAGAGAAGGGAGGGTGTTCTTAAAACGCAAAATGCCTAGTGTGAGAAACAGCCATATTTCTCAGACTGCAGCGATGGCACAATGGTTAAGAACACTCACTGGTCTTACAGAGGATCTGGTTCTAGTTCCCAGCACACACATGGCAGCTCACAACCCTCTGTAACTCCAGTGCCACGGGATCCAACACCTTCTTCTGCCCTCTTTGGGCACCAGACATGCACAGACACACATACCGGTAAAATACATAAAAATTAATTGTTACACTTCTCACTATTGTTCTCCATGAGACAGATGAGATGTAAAAGCCTCAGCTGGACGTGGTAGCTCACACCTGTGACTTTAGCACCTGCAAGGCTAAGGAAATTTAAGGCAGTCTATGACTCAAAAGACCCTGTCTAATGATGATCTGTTTTTCTTCAAATTGCGAAAACAATAATCTAGAAAAATGTAGGCTCTGTATCAAAAATAATAAATCTTATAAATAACAAATAAACCAATAAGAAAGAGACAACTCATTGAGAAAACAGACAGAACATAGAAAGAGCAGCTCACAGAACAGGAAACAAAGCTGAAGGGACTGTTATCAGGATCCCCAAGTCTGACTTATTTAACATGCGTGAAGGTCTGGGGATGGAGTCAGTGGAGGAACACATGTCTACCAACAATACCCGAGGCCCGAGGTTCAATCACCATTTACAAAGATAAGAAAATCCCATGGAAATGGAAATTTATTAGTATAAGGTATGGCTTTGCATCCACATGGTTGAAATCTGACCACTCCGGGTATAACAAGGACAGTGGAGAAGGGAGAACTTCCACACTGAGGAGAGACTTGACCCGAGCACCATTAGTCTGCAGGACAGGATGACCAAAGCTACTTGATTTCAAGACTGGCGACCTGTTTGGAAGGCATGAAGTGTGTCCTGCCTGCACATTGTTAAAGATGCAGACAAGACTAGGCCAAAATGAAATATACCAGAGGCCATTATACAGACCAAATCTTAGCATCGTTTCATGAAACTTTCATTCTGTGGCACACAGAATGCCGGTGTTTCATAGAGCTTCTGTCTTTCTACATACACACCACACACATACATCACACACTCACACATACATCACACACACATCATACCACACACACATCACACACATACATCACACACACATACATCACATACATCACACACACATCATACCACACACACATACATCACATACACATACATCACACACATCATACCACACACACATCATACCACACACACATACATACATCACACACACACACACACAAACCAGATAGGAGGAGGGATCTATTTAACAACTGCCATGCTGAGGTATATCAACCATTAGTTGTCTATACATTACATCATCTTAAATTTCAGCATCCACTGTGGGTTTTTCCTTTTGTTTGCTTCTTTCTTTGAATAGAGTCAAGTTATACAGTCTAGGAAAGCCTGGTGCTCGCCATCCTCGTGCCACCACCTCCAGCAGCCAGAATTATAGGCCAGTGCCACCATGCCAGAAAATTCCAGTTAGGTTTTGTTTTTTAAAATTCCTTTCTCTGTGGGTCATACTGTTGTTCTTAATTCTGCGGGTTAGAGGGTAAAGACGTTACACGAGGAAGAAGACACAGACGTGCGGTGGTCCCACGTGGGTGCACTTTTAATGGGGGAGGGGTAACAGGCAGGTAAGGGGTGTGCGGACACGGTGGGAAAGGCGGGGAGAGAGAGAGGGAGAACTCGTGGCAGCCTTTGCTTTTTAACGGGGAATGCAGAGGCTTCTGGGAAATGTGTCCTGTCCTTCCGTGGCTGGCATTCGTGGTCCAGCGGAATGCTGGGAGCTGTAGTCTTGCAAAGGAACAACACATACTACTACACTGATGTTTGCATACATGCTTTGTGAATTATCTTTTCTCTTAGAATCTCAGGGGCTGGAAATGGGATTAATTGTGACTCTTGGTTATGGTATCTTCTGATTTGTCATTATCCAACCAAGCTTTCTTGTCTTTCTCTCACAGAATTACATTCTATAACCAGAAAGTAGCCATTTTATCTTTTTTCTTTTCCCCAATACCCCTTTCTGTTGACCTTGGATGAAAATGTATGTCAATTCTCGCTTCTCCAGTGACTCATAGGAAGTCAACCATCCCGCCTGAGTTTAAACCATAACCTTGACAACTTATTTTAATTCACCATTATGACTACACCTCAGCATCACGTGACTGGGATTTCCTGGTCACTTACACTGCATTTTCTCTCCCCCTTCCTAATTTAGCTCATTTTGGATAGGCTTTGTAGGGGGGATAGTGATTTGTTTCCATTCCTTGTTCTTCCTCACACAGATAGCCAGCTGCACTTTCTGACTCCTCCTGGAAGGAGAAGGGGCAGGCAGAAGTGAGATGGGAAAAGGGAGCAAAAGCTGTACCCATGAAAATTTCAGAAGATGGTCTGTGTTCTCTGGGCCTAACCGTTATTTTAGCTGACACCCTCCCCTACTTCCCGTGTGTGTGTGTGTGTGTGTGTGTGTGTGTGCGTGAGTGTACACATGTGGTGGATTTTCATATGCTAACAACCCCCCTCTGTCCCTGCAGCTATTTCTACACTCCCCTGTCACAGTGATGTGATCTGCTCCAGCTTGGCTCTGGCCTCTTCTTCAGCCCTGTGTTGCTCTCATCCACAAACACCACAGACTATTGCGGTGGACTTCATCAAGGTCCCTCAGAAGACTAGTTGGGGTGATAGATGGAGTACATCTATTAGAGGAACGATGGACTGAACTAATTATATGCACATGGTGTGTGTGTGTGTGTGTGTGTGTGTGTGTGTGTGTGCATCTGTGTTTGCCTGTGAGCATTCCCTGTTATTTTTCTCCAAGGTGCTAGAACTTGAACCTATGGCAATGCCCCAACTGCTGAGATACACTCCCAGCCTATGAAAGTGGTTTATAAAATGTCAACTCCAATACAATTGCTAGTTCTAGCAAATCATTAAGAATGTTGTGTCTAGCTTCAAACTAGTTGTGTGACTTGGATTTGTGATGCAAGCTGTTACCACCCAAAGTTGCCAACGGAGGGTAATTAAAGTGTAAGAATCCTATCGAATAGGAAAATAAAGGATTGAGAACAGTGCTCACCTAGACAGGAGTGGGAACAGCCAGTCAAGTCTTTCAGCTGTTACCTGGTGTTAGAACAGGAGGTCAGATACACTCAGCACAAACTCTGACATAGGAAAAGAGATTTTGAAGAAGGCCTGGACAGAGTGCTATGGGAACAGAAGATTTAGGTTGTGGACCTACTATGCTGCAGGTGAGATTCTTTCCTAATCTAGAGCAGGGAGGGAGGAAAGAGCGAGGAGAAATAGCTTTGAAATATTTTGGGGGCAGGTAAGATTATTTTTACTCAACCGAAAGGCAAGGACAAGTAGCAGCAGTGTTTGGTGAGCCAGGTCAGGAATAAGCTGGAGTCCCACCAGCTACCTGAGAAGTCCTTTCCACAACTGCCCGGTGGGATCCCTGGGAGAGGACTGAGTGACTGGAAGAAGGCACAGGATGTCTGGGCCTAACTGATCCCCACAGAAAGGACAGGATCACAGGAAAGGAGCCATTGCTAAGCCAGCTGACCTTGGAACCAGGGAGAGTGAAGGCAACACAAGCCTCAGCTCCAGAGGAAGCTGGAGGGTGGAGGTCTGAGAATCCGCTCTGTTTGGGGCTGAGTGCCTGAGGATGCATAAAGGTCCCCAGCTGTATGTGATGCTTCCCTTCCTGGATAACCCTTAGGCTGACTGGCCGTGGGCAAGGGCCTTCTATGGGGATATTCGGTGTGTTCTGAGATAGAAAGTTCCAGGGTAGAAACCTCAAGCACGAAGAGAAGAAAGTGGAGAACTGCACCAGCCTGGTGGCGTGTTCATGAGGGGGTTGACAAGGGACCGACGGAGCCTGAAAGTTAAAGTCTGTCTGGGCAACATATCAAGCCACTATCTTAAAAAATGGAATCTGGCATGTTGAGATTCACCCATAATCCCAGCACTTGAGAAGCTAGAGTGGAAGATAAAGAGTGCAAAGAAAACCTTCCCACAAATCACAATCCCAGAGAACCTAGACAACAGTGAGGACCCCAAGAGAGACATACATAAATCTAATCTACGTGGGAAGTAAAAAAGACAAGATCTCCTGAGTAAATTGTGAGCACGGGACCTTGGAAGAGGGTTAAAGGGGAGGGGAGAGGTAGGGAGGGGAGCAGAGAAAAATGTAGATCTCAGTAATAAAAATAATAATGATAATAATAGTAATAATAATAATAAAAGAGTTCAAACCTAACCTGGACTACATAACAAAACTAGAAAACAGAAATAGAAACAGAAAAACGCAGAGGGCTTCACAGCAGCAGGTGTTCTGGCTGCTCACAAGATAATAGCCAGCTGCCCAGGTGTGGACCAAGTCACAGTCTCTGCCCTTTGGAGGATAGGGGTTAACTTGTCACCCCACAACAAAGACACAGTGTGCCACGGTAATGTACATTTCTTGGCAGTGAAGCCACACACAATCCCTTCATCCTGTATGAAATTGGTCCTAACACCGAGGTCAGGCACATTGCGGTGTCCTCTGTGGCAGGGCTATCATTAACTC